ACATCTATCCACTGGACACTCTCAATCCACCACCTAGCAGCACGCTCCTGCGCAGTAGCTAGGTTGGGGGACGTTGTTTAAAAACAATATATAAAGGTTAATCGTAAGTTATTTATGATATATCAACTTATAAATTATAAGGTGGACTAAACTACATACATTAGTAACATCGAGAATACGTTCACAATCATGTGCCGGCAAACGCCTTGTCCTAGGGTATGCAACTGCCCGAGGGATAACATCTGATATAGGGGAACCAACAATACTACTATTGGGAAATGTCTCCAAGATCCAAATCTACAAAATTAAGATGACAAAAAACTTACCAAGTTAAGAAAGTTACAATACTTGTTGTTTAAAAACTCTTATTAAACATAATGTACATACATTAAATGCATAGACAAATCATTGCAGAGTATATGTGTGTCTACTGCCGATTTTTGCCGCATTTAGGTTCGAATGGTCCTCAATCTTATCAAACACAGTACGCAGTTGTTTGTAAGTGAAATCTCATATCAATCTGCCCCATGGGTACCTATGTCAAAAAATTACACTAAATAAGTATATGTATCATTTTGATATAATGTGGGTAAAAAATTGTGTACCTGTTAAACTCGTGTAAATTAGAGACGAGTTCCATATGTTCATTAGTAACTGGATATCGAGGATATTTCCCCAAAAATCCTTGGTCTAGCATATACAGTAGGGAGACTCTCACCACGTCTTCATTACTTAATTGATGAAGTAAGTTATTGAACACATGCATAAGGTCAGCCACACTCACCGAACGTGAAAGTATCACAAATGGAAACACGCGTTCTCTGAATTCTAACAAACCAAAACTGGGATAGAAATAATCTCTGAACCGCAAGCCGGTGACCAAGCAGAATGGTTTCCTGTCAAAGCTAACCCGATAGTCGCCAACCGAAAATAGAAGCTCTTCTAGGTCAACTGGATCAAAAGTAGTAACTTCCTTGCACATAAGATAGTTACATAGTAAAGGGTGACATTTGACACCCATCAGCATGTTCACGTAATTAGCAAAACATGATTGCCTAAACATCGCCCCACAAACCGGTTGGTTTTGTAAGTGCGCCATGATTTCACGCCCAAGTTTAGGTTTGTAGGGTGTAGAAACAACTACTTCGTATGTTCTACCGTGCTACAATCAAATCAATTATTAATTAGGGATTTTTATATGTATGTTCCGAAACGGAATTAGGGCTTTTGATTGTATTCAGGAATTAGGGCTTTTTATTGTATTTCGGAATTAGGATTTTTATATGTATATTTTGGAATCCGAAAATCAGGTACGGTATTCCAAACCAGATTTCCGGACCCAGTTCATTGTATTCCGAACATGATTTTCGGATTTCGGACACGTTCTGGACTAGCGAAAATTAGGGTTTTTTTATAACGATGTATCATGTAGTATAAATGTATAAGTCCATGTGATTCTATAATTGCCTTAACACGAATAAAATTCACAGAAAACCCTGTAATACGTATATAATTGCGTAAACTAAACATTTTTAACGTATAATCTAAAATAAATGCATTTAATCAGAAACAAATTTGGAACCTACAAATAAAAACTGCATTTCTTCACTATTATCAGAAGGCATTTTCAGTTGTAGAGGTGTCCGGAAAGGGAAGTAGGGTAATCCGAAAAAAGGGATGTCGAAGTCTAGTCTGAAACGGGTTAAATGACATTTATAGATGAACCAGATTACCGGGTCGAAATTATCTACCCATTTAACCGAATTTGAAATCGGATCCGGAACGCCCCATTTCGGACCAAGTGGTCATTTGGCAAAACAAATAAAATAAAAGGTTATATTTGTTAAAAACAACAAAAAAAAAAAATTAGATTACTGAATTTCCATTGTACATTTATACGACGTGATGAAGCAATGAGTTTTGCTCCATTAATATGTCCAAAGAATGTGCGACTATATTATCCAATAACATAATCGCCAACGACACCACCATATAGATCTCTTTCTTCTATAAAGCTGTTGGGTGTGGGCAACATTTTATTGCATGCTACCACATCAAAAGGTGTCACATCATCATCCTAGTCATACATGGGTGTTATAACATCCAAGGTGGAAATGAACAACACCAAATAACATGTGATAACACTCCTTATTTTCTATTTTAATTTTTAACTTTTTTTTTGATGTTTTTAATTTCTATATTTCCAATTTGTTTTTTTTTATTTATGTCATAGGATTTATAATTATCATATAAATTAAATCATAATTTAAAAATAACATTTAAAAAGTAAAAATAAAATTTTAATAAATCCTAAATTAAAAACAACGTTAAAAAAAATACAACAAATGACAAAAACATTTACAACCTAAAAACCAAAAAAAGATGAGAAAAATTACATTTTTTGACCTAAATTATTAATCTTCAGTACCATCATAAATACGATATGCCAAGTCTTCTCGAAGTTGCTCGTGTTTTTGTTGGTCTTGAATGTCAACGACTCTATGTAAGTAATATGATGTCCCTGGTTGAAATTGAATGTGTCTTGGTACCGTATGTGAATAATCCGCAATGTTTCGTCATTTATCTTTAATCACCATGTTATGCATTATGATACATGCATACATAATATCTCGTAGAGTGTCCAACTCATATGGTCGTGCCGCATGTTCAGCTATGTGCCATTTTGTTTTCAGAACTCCGAAAGCACGTTCCACGTCCTTACGTGTTCCTTCTCGTCTAGCTTCTATTGAAAATTTTGTCTCTTGGTTCTGTCGGGTGTCGAAAGGCCTTCACAAACGTGAAATATGGTGGATATATTCCATCTGTGAAGTAATGCCCGAACTTATACTCATGACCATTCACTGTGAAAGGAGCATCTGGTGCCTTTCTTGTCAAAAGGTCCTAAAATATTGGTGACTGATCAAGGACGTTTACTTCGTTGTTAGAACCCGCAACTCCAAAAAAATAATGCCAAATCCATAAGTCTTGTGAAGCAACAACCTCTAATACCAACGAAGGCGATCCAAGATGACCACTTGTGTATTGGCCTTTCCACGCCACATGACAATTCCTCCATATCCACTTTGTGCAATCAATGCTTCCAAGCATGCCCGAAAAATCATGTCGTTCTTCATGTGCCGCATATAGTTGTTGCATGTAATTCAATAAAGATTTGCGCAAGTATTTGTCACCGAAGGTTTCGATAACACCTCTCGCCAATCTATACAAACTTTCTTGTGCAGTTCGCTTCGACATTCTCATATAGTCATCAGTGGAATCAGGCGACTCCCCCATAACCATAAGTTTGATTGCAACAACACATTTTTTCAACCCTGTAAAACATCGTTTACGTCTCGCATCATACCTCATTTGGAAAAATTCATACCTAAACATATATTTAATTTATAAAAAATGTGTACTTATGATAACAACAATTATCTAAAAGGTATATTTATGTTATCTAAAAAACATTTATCTAAAAAGTGTATTTACGATACCAGCTTTCTAATGCATTGACTATCCGTTGAAACATATTTTTTCGCAAATGAAACCTTCTTTTGAAATTTCTAGGTTTGTAGACACAATTATCCGCAAAATAATCGTGTACTAGACGTTTATGCCATTTTTCACGATCTTTGTTCGACGCAACACACATTGTGAGTAGTGGAACTGGCTCTGACGGTAGTATGTCCATAGAATATCGATACATCATACACATGAATATATCATATTCGTCATTATTAAGGCTGTTCAATATTCGGATAAAACCGAATTGTCCAATTGGAGAATTTGGATTAGACAATTTGGTTCAGATATTCGGATTTTTGGATTGGTTTTCAAGAAAACCGAATTATTATTTTAGATTTCGGATTTGTTTTGGTTTATAAAATAAGAACCGGATAGTCCAAAAAAACCGAACAATAATTTATTACCTATTTACTTTTAATATGTCTATAATTATTTATTAAGTTTGTAATTTATTTTTGAAATATGTTCAAAAAGTTTCACCTAATAACAAATATTAATATAGATTTTCTCACAAAATTTTTTTATCTATAAAATATTAAATTATAATATATCTTCTTAGTAATTGTTTATAAATTTAAATCACAATTAAATAAATTATTTTTGCTTCTTGTGTAAAATTGAGTATTATTATAATTATATGTCGTTTTAAAATGTTTCGGTTGTTGAAAACCGAATTATTAAAACCGATCCAACTAAATTGTAATTGGATCAGATTGGATTGGATTTGAATTTAGTTTCGACTATTCGGATTCATATTTTGAAAACTGAAATCAATTTGGATTCACTTGATTGGATCGGATCAAAGCGATCCATCCAAACGAACACCCCTAGTCATTATCATCGTTGTATGGATGGAACGGATCAAAATAATCCAAAATAATCCATTTTTTTGTAAATAGAAAAATAAAAAAGATAATGAACTTGATAAAAATGTGTATTTGAGAGAATTTGATGAATTTTCTATGTAAAAATTGGAAGTTAAAATGTGTATATATATCAGAATTAAAATGATTATTTTTTTTTTAATTTGTGACCGTTCCACAACGGTCGAAAAATAGACCGTTAATATGTATATATGTGTGTTTCGTCTCATTGCCACACAAACGCCTAATAACAGAGACCGGGGACGGTGTTTTGCCCGTTATACCGGCGTTATTTGCATGCGACGTTGGAATAACGTCTTACCCGCTCCCACCCGTCTAAACGAAATAAAACCTTTCATTTCTACCTATGTTGGGATCAAGAGAGGAACACTTTTCCTTTTTTCCAATCCTTTAGCCATTAAATTTCCAACAGAATACATGACACGCGTCATCTTTTTGACTATTGTGCAACCACAATATATATAACTTTTCGGCTTTGAAATCATATTAATCACGACAAGAACAAAAATAAAATAAAATACATGACGTGTATTCTCTTTTTAACTACTGTGCAACCACAATATATAACTTTGCGGCTTTGAAATCATATTAATCACGACAAGAACAAAAATAAAATTAGTGCGCAAATGGGTGAAGAGAAGATCCCTATACACAACAATTGTATACTTCCTTAAAACAGTTTTTACTCAAAATCGCTATAAAAATACATGAATACTAAAGTAGTAAAGTTTCCCTCGAATACTATGAGCACGTTTCCATCAAAGCACCTTTAATTAAACACCGGTTTCTCCATGAACTTACAAGATCTCCCATAATCTTTCGGTACAGGAAGATCAAGTTCCAAGCAAACAAACCGGATTATCTCTCCGGTCAAATCCCCGAAAGACAACTTGTTTAGAGTCACCGCAATAGAAAACCTGTTATTAATGTCACAGTATGCCATGGACCCACCCAACCCTGCGTGACCAAACCCAATCGTCGAACATGCATCCATCGTGCAAACCTTCCTAAACCCAAGTCCAAATTTTCCTTTCGGTAAGATTAAATCCTTATATTTTCCGTTTCCCAAGAACGCATCATGAAGTTTTGATTTTGGGTTGCTAAAGATTTTAGTCTCGATTTCATCACCTGTGGCGTCTGTTTCGGGGATTCGGATGAAATGATCGGGTTTAGGATTTGTGAAGTAGGTGTCAGTACTTTCATCTTTCTGGTTCTTGGAGGGGAACGTGGGGTGGTGAGGGTGGCTTCCAAGTGGTGGGAGGGAGGAGGAATGGCGAGGAGGGACCGTACCACCGTCCACAAGGGCGGCATAGTAGCGGGCTAATGCACGGGCCGAGAAGTGTCCGTTAGAGGCTGGTAATATAGCACGGCGGACATTGAGCTTGTCTGCTAAGGAAATGAGGTTTTCAAGTATGTGAGGCAAGAATGAGGAAGGCACGGCAGTCCTATACTTACACTTTGCGATTAGATCTGAAAACGTATGGAATTCATTTCTATCGTACGTAAGATTTGCCAGACGAGATTCCACACCTGAATTTCATATAAAATCATAAACTTCTTATGAACTTTATATGAGGCAGGACAAGACGTACAAAAAAAAAAGTTCTACTTTTATCACATTTTGTATTGTCATTTAACAATAAAAAATGGTCCTTTACAAGGTCAAAAAATATAGAATAAACTAATCATGATTAATTTTTTAATTTTTTAAAGTATAAAAAACCATGCATTACCCCGTTACCTAATTTTCCTTCTATCTTCATCTTACGGAAAAATACATAGAATTACATTGTTTCATAACATTATCGATTTAACAACTGGACTATTATTTTTTTTATTGATTTAGCCACTTGAATGTTAATATAATAATCATAAAAAAACAGCTTAAGTTAGTGTCTAAATCAATATCATGATGAAACTCTGATCAAAGAAGTTGCAATTTTAAGGGCCACTATGAAAAGCTTATTATTTATATGGTCAAAAATATAATGGTATAAATAATTCCTACGTAAAATAGTTTAAATGGCTAAAGTAATATAAACAAATGTACAAAGCCTTTCTTCATTGAGTTTTTCATGAATCTCACCGGAAGGAATCCCTATATAAAATTCGCCTTCCACGTTTAGTGGGCGAACAAAAGCTTCCTCAAGAACATCTTGAAACTTCTTTCCGGATGCACGCTGCACGTTCAAGAACGCATATATAGATGACCGAATATAATGAATACATGAAAATATGTCGTTATTCCATTCATGTTTCATGTCATGCATAGCACAAACAGGCACCAAGGGCCCATTTGTTACTCAAGACAGAAGATTGTAGGATAGGTTGTACTTCATTTCATGTGCATTGGATGGAGACTAGCTAGGACCGATCTCAATAGGATAAAATGTATTCTTTTTCCTACACAAGAAGATGGAACAAGGTAGGACATGGACTGTGTCTAAATCTCTTGTCGGTGCAGAACACATAAAAGTTTTGCTCATCCTCATCAATAAAAATAGCCCTAAACATAGATGATGCATGTTATCTTACCTCAATGATTGCGCCACATAGCCAACCATATGAGAGATAATGATATAATTGATCACGACCAGGTTCGGTCTCTGGTGCAACCTCCGCAATGCGTTTTACACACTCATCCCAATCACAAAATAATGTAGGATCATTTCTAGTATTGTCAGCAAGAGCGTTGTGCAAACCAGATGTATGATTCAGTATATGATGAACCTGCAAGAGAAAGGAAATGTGATGGTCCCTTTGAATATGGATATACAGTTACAACCTTATAAAGAAAATATACACCAAAATGTTACCAAATAAAGAGATTGTCCCAAGATATCACACCAAATTGTTTCTTTTTTTTTTCTACAAATAGGTTCTTCTTCCGACAACCCTAATTGGTCCACACCAACCTTCTGAATCCACAGTTTGGGATTTAGAGTTTAGGATACCCAATGGCCCATTATGTGGATGACATAGAGCCTACCACAATGGACCAATCAACAATGGAATTAAAACTCCCACGCTATGGTTGTTGAGACTATAACTGTAGTGTGTTTCTAAAAAGATACCACTCCAAACCAACCTATGTTTATGTCGTGAGAGTGTTTTAATAATGTTTTCTCTAGTGAAATCAGGTAAGTAACGATAACATTAAGAATAACGGGGGAAAGAATTGAATGAGGAGAACCTTTATCTGATCCTTCCCATTTGTACCAAACTCTGGCCAAATGTTTGCGACATTTTCATCAAGGTTTAGTTTCCTAAAATGAAAATACATATTTGCTTATATTTCCTTGATTGACATGATACCAAATAACTCCCTTCATTGATGTTAAAAATATAAAATTGACGAAGATACCCTTTATCAACCAGCCAATGTATCATTCCTGCCGTGACACCCTTAGTTACAGAGAAAGCAGGAAATAAGGAATCAGGTTGAACTGGACGAGGGTTGTCTTTTCCCAGCACTCCAGCTGCAGTATCAATGATCACTTGCCCGTTTTTGTAGGCACAAACCTAAGAAACATAAACCATATTTTGAGTGATTACAAAATGTATAACTCATGTATATTGATGTTATTAATGACATGTAATAAAATACTAATTCAAGCTAGGTTTTTAATAACACGCCCCAATCTGTAAAGTAACGTTGGCAGTATGAACTATTAAAGGGTATCAGTTATAGTTATAGGGATAGGCTGGAGCAACGAGCAAGATAAACTTTCTATGGTTATTTTCGATGATGAAGATATATAACGAGTACACTAAGGTCTTTGACATAGTCAAGTCATGTCCCACCTTTCTAGATGGGGCAGAAAGTTGCAATAATCATGCCACATTTGTCCAAGTCAAATGAATGTCAAACATGGTACAAGTAATAAAGTAAACCAATTTTTCCACTTAAACAAGTCTTCTAATGTTATTTTCAGTATGAGGATATGGAGGTATTTAACATCATTTGCAAAATGCGAGATTGAGAGCTAATCTCTATCTCACGAATAGGAAAAAATGCATTTTTTGTCCCTTATTCCGGTCTAGCGAACATGTGCCAAGGGAAATACAACTAATATGGAAAACCCCTTATACACTGTCCTACTAAGTGATTTATAGGGCTATTTTGGATGATGATTGTTAGCATAATATTTAATATTTACCATATTTGGTTTTAAGGACAAAGAGGGGATTAATGTGTTTAACACATATGTAACTGAATGCACATGAAACACGACACAAGTAATATTAATGTAAACCAATTATACATGGACTAAACTCAACCGACTAGACATATTTCTAGGGTTTTTAGCCCTAACAATACTGGGAGTGATGGTCGGACTTGAGGACGTGTCAGGTGTGTCACCGTACAACCTGTATCGTAAAGGGGACCGAAATATTAATCGGTCAATAAATCTGCCGTTAATTAGTCTCAATCATTTGCTAATCCGTGCTAATCTAAATTTTTGGGAGCTACTTTTAGTCTTCGCACAGTCCTACACAAAACTAGCAACCATTAGGGTATGAAGTCTTGTCCAACATGGTGCACTTAGAATCAAGTAGAGCACTTGGATGGAGCATTTTGAGTTCAATGGAACACTTGAACTCAATGGAGCACTTAGGGTTCATGGAGCAAGTGCTAAAGGAACATATCATCCGAGAATGCATTAAATCATCTGACAAAGGAATGGATCAAGTGCCAAAAGAACGGATCATCTAAAAGGGAGTTTGGAGCACTTGGAGCAACTTGGAGAAACATATTGCTCATGGATGTTTCTCAGGCGATGCTGCTCATAGAAGTTGCTCACGCGATGTTGCTCATGAAAGTTGCTCCCACGATGTTGATCATAGAAGTTGCTCACGTGATGTTGCTCACACGGCGTTACTCATAGAAGTTGCTTGTGATGATGCTCATGGAAGATGCTCGCGGATGATGCTAATGGAAGATGCTCGTGGATGATTTAAGGCAACCCCTTCATGGGCTAATTATGGATGGGCCTAGCCCATCATAATAAGGGTTTTTCATGCTTACCTATAAATAGGCTCATATTCCATCATTGTAAAATTGCCAGATTTCTGTGAGATTTCAAAGTGAGATATAGTTTTGAGTTTTTTGTAATAGTTCCAGAAAGTTAATAAAATATTCTCTCTCTCGTTTGCCCGTGGACGTAGGTCACCTTAACTAAACCACGTTAAATATTGTGTTCCTTTGATTTATGCTTTTTTGAAGTCTTAATTCCATAAGTTCACCGTAGTTTGTTTTGATATTTGTCTGAAGTGCTTAACTTGTTTTGTAGCAACCTAACAACGGATGATGTTCAGATTTGTATATGTAAGCCATGGTTCAAAGACCTGTCACATCAAAATACTCCATTGGGATTCTGGGATTTAACTTCTATAAGATGGGTCCTGGGACACGTTCGACATTGGCTGTCTAGAGTGTTAAACACCTCTCTTTTAGAGTTATTTTGCATGATAAGAATAAACCGGCCATTATTATCGTTTGAAGGTGAGATAAATAATACAACATTTTTGTTCAAACTACCAGTATGATAACTCAAATAAATAAATAAATAAATAAATATATATATATATATATATATATATATATATATAATTAAGTTGCTATGTCAGTAACTAAGTAAATTAATTAAGTATAATTAGGAGGAAATTAAGGGTGTTAACATTCAAAATTGTCACACTTGATTACTACGTAGATTGAGTGGGGACATAATGCGTGTAACCTTCAATAATATAATGAGCTCAAGAAATTGTGTAGAACGCTCACTGGAAATGCGATCTATGGGGAAATTGGAGTAATAAGTACTTGAAGATTTTCGGAGTTGTGTAGACAATTAAGGCATGCTCTTCTGATTTAAGTCCAAATTAGTTGTACAATTAACAATTGTGGTTTTGATTCGATAATATGTGTTTGTGGAACCAAAAGTAGGTGAAATGATGAAATATTAGTGATTTTACTTAGTTTTTGTTTTTTAAAATATCAATGTAACCTTTATTCCTAATAATAGGAGTATTTTAAAAAAGAATAGTACTTCATTTTTAATAATATGTATTACTTATCATCGTACAACGAGTGAGATTGGAAACGTGCAACAAGCTGCGCCGCTAAACCTTTTTGTATGGTAAAACTATTTCTTTTGAAGACTACATCTATAGATCTAAGAGATATAACATTGATATGCATGATCCGTTGTACTCTATTAAGAAACTCCACCACATCCGGTGCGAGGAAACCAAACGTATCAAATACAAATGGTATGAACACGTGTTGATTTTATATGCACGATTTCTCATGTTTGGTGACTTTGCTTGTAGCAGCTTTTAAAGCAGCCTATCCCGTCGTGAAATCCCCAACCCTCAAGCCCACGAGAGGAGATACCCCTAAAAGGTCCACACATGCGTGCTTCCCTCCAACCGACCCATCCAAAAATCAAAATGTCAGCCGATCTAAGGGTTGACCTTTCTTCTGCCGCGTCAATCAAGAAATTCGCAGGTGTCTCTTTTTTGGCAGTAACCCCAACACACTTAAAAATGTCAAACAAAACATCCCTAACCATATTGTGCCTGTATTTGAACCCTGATAGTTCTTTACAGTAAACTGCATGTGCTCCAAAAGAGTACAAACATGCCTTGTGACACACCAAACATATCTCGTCAGCTGAGAATATTGGGATCATGAGTCGATATTTGAGGATATTACGATACTCCACAGAAGACATATGTTGGTCTAGCCCATCTATAGGGATAGCTAGAAGAAAATCATAAGCCTGTGGTCCACGTAAGCAATGAAAAATCGCTTTCTGTCGAGTCGTCATGTCGAGATGCACTTCCATATCTTGGACAATTTTACGAAAAATGACACTCGCCAATTTATTATGGGATTTAGGGGGGGGGGGGGGGAGGAGGTGTCTTTAATAGTAAATTTGCTAAGGTTAATATCCGGAAGCTTGTTACGAAGAGAAGCCAATGCACAATCATAATCAGAATCAATACAATATATGTCGCTATCCCATAAGATGTAGTCTTGCAATACCTAAGATTGCGCCCTTGAGGTAACAAAAGCATACAAGGTAGCCTTTACTGCCGAGTATAAACCCAAACCACCAAATCTAATGGGTAGGGAAGCAATTCACCATTGTATGTCGCCAGAGAAAGGGTCACCACAAACCACAATGTCCTCAATTACCTCGCACATCCCATTGTTTTGACATCACTTGCATAATACAAAATTTTATTCAGCTCTTTTTCTGTTTCTTCCACTTATCTTTTTCTCCAACATATTTTGTTTTTCCTAAACAAGTAATCGTTATTTTGAAAACTCCAAATTGAAGGTGATTCAATTTGTTCCATTTTGTTCGGTGTGATGATAGGGTAACAAACTTTATAAAATGTTTACCCCCAAAACTAAAAAAAGTCAACCGATGGTAACAAACAAATGATTTTTTTGTAAATGGATAATTTCATCTATATCCTCATTATTGGAAATAACCGTTACAATGGTATTTAAAAAATAAAATAAAATAAAAACAATAGTTTTTTAATTTTTGGTGGCATTTTTTAGTTAAGTCGGTTTTTAAAAATATAAGAAAGTTCCTAGAGGTTGTTTGGGATTCCATTTGAAAATTTCTTGTTTACTTATTTGCTTTTCAAAAAATAATAAGTCAAAAATAATGTTTGATAATTGTAAAAGTTATACTTAAAATAACTTTTTGAAAAGTTAAAAACTCCTTCAAAAATGAGTTTTTAAAAAATTAGGTATATGTGACCCTTTGGAGAATTCATAAGTCACAAAAGTTATTTTGGTTATTTTTATATGTATAGGCTAGTGAAATCTTTTTTAACTTATTCACTTATTGATTTTTTTTCATCAGATAATGAAATATTTTTTTTAAACTTATTTAAAAACGTCATAAGTTTGATAAGTTCTTTTTGACAAAAGAACTTCTAGGCTTCTATTACCGCGTTAGCTTTTTTTTTTATAATTAAAACAAAATTTTCAAAATTAGCTCCTACAGTTTTTTTTATCACTTGTTAGTTTTGTTTTTTCTTTTGAATTAAAACCGATAGCTACACATATGGCCCTGCGACTAATCAATTTTGAAACACAGGTATGTCTTCAGTTTTTACAACACTTTTGATCAGATCTTTTTTTTTTTGGGAATTAAAATTACACATATGGCCCTGCGACTAGCAACTTTTGAAACATAAGTGTGTCATTAGTTTTTCTTTCCTAAACCCTAAACTAGTAATTTGCTCCCGTGCATTGCGGTGGGCCAACCCGTATTGTAAGTTGAATTTTGATAATTGTATTAATAAAACTTACGTATTTTTGCATTAGTTGGTAGATAAATATATTAGGTCGGTACCATTTACTAACTCTAATTTATGTCGTCGAATGAAAATATACATATTATATGTGACCGAACTCATACGTCGGAAATGTTCATATATATATATATATATATATATATATATATATATATATATATATATATATATATATATATATATATATATATATATATATATATATATATAACGGATGGGCCGTGACACGTGAGATGGAAACGTACAATTGGTTCCTTCTTACGATATCTAAAATATGCCCTTAAATTGTGTCTTCATTTGAAAATTACACTCATAATACTTTGAATAAGCAATGAATAATAAAACTCTTTTATTCAATCGGGTAAGCATTTACATATATGAAAAACATGATCTCAGAAAGATGCATATGGATACCTAATGAGAATTTTAAATGTATGTAATATAGGAAACAATATAACAAGTGTTAGTGTAAATGGAAAGGGGAAGTCTTAATATTGAAGATTACGAAAGAGTTCTAGAGAGATGCAACATTCCAAGTACCTTGTTTTAATTTATTGTTTTTACTATAGTTACGACAATATTAGGAATTTTAGTTAATCGTGAGAGATTTTGGAAATGGTTGATTATCTATTGTATTTTAAAATTTTGTGTGTTACAAGTTATTATCAGATCCGATTAAGAAGATCACTTATGCCTTCCTAGCACTTATGTCCCTTTAATTTTCAAGAAGCTGGTCGATTTAGTTAGTATATCCACTATCACCAAAATTTCATCATAACCCTTTAGTTTCACTATCACCAAAATTGCTTATTTCTCACGTCAGTTGAAGATACGTGAGCTTAAACACCCCAATCATGATATGGGATGCATAAACACGTTGTTGTCATTACAATAGTGTAACTACAAAGGAAGTTGAAGAGTTATGAAGCAATTTGGGTGATAGTGGATATATTAACTAAATCGACCAAAAGAGGTGTATTGTGTATGAAGGTTAGCTAAGTTTTACGTTGATGAGATAGTGAAACTAAATTAAGTTGCTATATCAGTAACTAAGTATTTTAATAAGGTGTAACTGCTTTTAACCGGAGCAAATTATGGGTTTTAACATAAAATTAGTCGAAATAAACATCATGAACTCGTAGGACGATTCCCTTAGGATTTCGTGTTGGTGGAATATAGGGTGGGGGTAGCATAATAAGCTTTGGTTAGGTTTATCAAGTACGAGGTGAGTTTTCATGTGAATTTTGTAAGTACTTGCATGAAAATATCTATCATGCAATAATAAGCGATTTATAAAGTTTTATTTAATTATTGATTCAAATATACTTTATGATAAATGTTGTTGCATGAAAAGTGTTCGGATTTGTTTATCTAGTTTGTTACTATCCGAGATGACACCTTTAGTGGGTACTAATGGGGTATTTGATAGTTAGACATATGACGGATACGATTTGACATTTTACTATTTTCTTGGATATATAAATGCTTGAGCATAAGGGATAGGTTGTGCCAAGTGGAAAGGGAAACAAATCATTGGTTTTTTCTCTAGATATTTGAAATATTCCTTAAGTTGTGTCTTCAGTTGAAACGTAATAGAGTAACTTTTGAATTAGAAATGCATGATAAAACTATAAACTTATAAACGTCTACGTCTATATGCATGAAAACCACAAACTCATAAGACCCTTGGTTTACATAATTAAAACTATAATTTTGTGCGGCCGAGGAAACGATATAGCAAATGGCTGTGGAAATGGAAATGGAAATTGCAAAGAGAAGGTTGCCGAAAGAGTTCCAAAGAAATGTAACCTTGCAAAGATTATACTTATACCTTGTTTTATTTTACAGATTCCACGATAGTTAAGACAATATTAAAAACTTCAACTGATTTAGGAGATTTTGGAACTTATTGATCGTCTATTGTATTTTGAAATTTGGAGTATTACAACCTATCATATACTAGTAAAACAACTATATTGGAGCAGTGGTATGCACCTGGATTCCAAGTATTCTATCAGCATTCCCTAATTCAACCAAGAGGCACCTCAGCTTGGCTTCTACATCAGAATGGATTGGACTGGCACATAACCATTTTGTATTCGAGGCTGCTCCCTTAATTGTGTTGCTGAAACAAATAAAAGCTAGTAAACATGGGTATGCCCGAATATGATTAGAAAATCAACAGCGGCTGGTTGGAACTTGGAAGTGAACAAAATCATACCTATCCAGAACAGAGTTAGTAAAACGTCTCATGATATATAGATAGCTTATCAGAATAAGACTCAAGGATGAAAGCCCTGAAACGATGTACTATACTTTTTAAATAGTCATGGCTTATCCCAACAACACAACATGTATAAGGCTAGGTCTAAACACTGTCGAGTTTTTAATTGACGGAAATGAAAGGAGAAACCCGAAAACACGTGTTCTCATGGGGCAAGGGTTGGGAAACAAATGAACATCAGGTCTTAAAACGTTTAACTTTCTTGTATAAGTTTCAACTTTGATGTTTTGCCTTTTGCTCTGTCTAAGGTTTCATGTTTTCCAGGACCAAAACGAATCTGTGTATTTTATAGTCTATCGTTGTCATCCAGTTTTATATATTATTTAATTATGATGATAAACTTTTATTTATAAAAATTTAAAGTTTTTAAGAAAACCCTTTAGTTCGGTGTTTTGGTTATTTAACTCCGGATTCTTTTTCCAACCACCGTAAAGGTATCTAGATTCTAGATAATGAATTGCAGAAAGCTATTGGACGAATATTTGTGATTAAAGTTACTTTTTCTTTTAATACAAAATTATAGACAAAAATTAATGGCTGCAAAAAAATATATGGTTTTGTTAAAAAAAATGTTGGTAATATATGGTTAAAGGTATCTAGAATCTAGATAACGAATTGAGAAAGCTATTGGATGAATATTTGTGAGGGATAATGGCTTAAAAGGGTAATGTGTTTTTTGATATGTACACATTTAGTCACTGATTTTTTTTTCGTTCACATTTACCCTTTCAACTTGTTAAACTGTACACATTTAGTCCTTATGACCGGCTACTCCAGGTTAGCCTGTAAAAATGACTTAATAGGATAATATATTTCTCACTTTGTACACATTTAGTCCTTAATATTTTTGTACATATTTAGTCCTTAATATTTTTTTGTTGCAAAATAAGTCATTTTTGTTTTTGTACTTATCAATGATTTCTTTAGGTTTTTTCTCACGACATCTTATGTGGGATAGCCATATCGTGGTGGGATAGGTTGAAGTGGTCCTGCTATATGTTGTAGGCCAAGATACCTAGTGCGGACTGGTTGTAAGTCGTAAGAACGGAGGCTCGAGAAGAGCGGTTGGGTTAAGGCGGCATGCCAACAAACCCTGGGTATTCCAGTCCGATGACTACTTGGACCTGTTGCATGTTGGCATTCCAGTCCGATGACTGATTGGGCCAAGGTATTCCAGTCTGATGAGTGTGGGCTTGTTATGCATGATAATATGTTTGTTGTATCGAGTATTTTGGGGGAAACTCTCTAAACTTTGTGTTTACCTAGTTGTTTATGTTTTCAAGTTATATCGTTGATGGTGGGAAGGCGAATGCATGACTGTACACACTCATCAACAATACTGAGGATTCCGCGTTTCTTATATTACTCTGATTTTCGAAAAATGTATTTTGGAATAAACGTTTTTTCTTAATAATGGATTTATAATTAGGGACTTTTGCCTTATTTAAAATGAAAATTTTTAGTTGTGAAAATGAGACGTTACACATAAAGTCAACAACCCCACACACTTCATCAATGATTGTCCCATGTAAGATGTCGTGAGAAAATCCTAAAGAAATCATTCAGAATGAGTACAAAAACAAAAATAACTTATTTTGAAACAAAAAAATATTAAGGACTAAATGTGTACAAAAATATTGAGGACTAAATGTGTACAAAATAAAAAATATATTACCCTATTAAGTCATTTTTCCCAGCTAAGCTGCAGTAAACGGTCATAATGACTGAATGTGTACGGTTTAACAAGTTGAAGGGGTAAATGTGGACGAAAAAAACTCAGTGACGAAATGTGTACAAATCAAAAAATATATCCCTATTTGTGATTAAAGTTACTTTTTCTTTTCAGACAAAAATACATGGCTGTAAAAAATATATAGTTTTGACAGTGGCAAATCTATAACCAAAAACCACGTGGTTTTTTATGTAAATGAAATTAAAAAAAAAATGAAAATGTAGGTCTTTTGACAAAAATAAGGTAGTTCCTTGTTTATATATATATATATATATATATATATATATATATATATATATATATATATATATATATATATATATACTTGTTGTATTAAAAAAAAAATTAGATCCTAGGACCTACCTTGTGCATGAATAGCTACGCCACTGAGTTTGGGTAAAAAAAAATGAAAGGTATCTACAATCTAGATAATGAATTGCAGAAAGGTATTGGTTTTAATATTTATGATTAAAGTTACTTTTTCTTTTAAGACAAAAATACATAGTTGTAAGGAATATATGAGTTTTGTAAAAAATGTATGATAATGAGTGGTTTAATTGTGGATTTTTTTTTACTAATTTTGGTCTCTATACATATAAAAAGATGATTATATCCCTTGGGATATCTGCAAGCCCTCCGACATTCTGAAAATAAGTATGTGTTTTATTTTTCCGGACTCTGTAAAATTTTAAATACAAAAATGTTAGTTAATTAAATATAAATCACAACTAAACCAAACATATTATCCAAGTTACCTTAAGCTGTACCAAAGTGGCATTCCTTAAAGTGAAGGAAACATTATCTCAACCGGATACGCTAAAAGGGATGTTCTCCTATATATCCTCCCAATCTCACGGGTAACCAATTACCACATTTCCCGACAGGGGAACATGCGAGCTCCCTGTCGAAATACAAATCTATGGGCTTTCTCATGTTTGCATGTATCCACTTTGATAGTTGGATGTGTTTAGATAGACCTCTTTTTTGTAGCTTAGCTAAAAAATATAATTAAAAATATTATTTACGATAGTTTGTAATAAATGAATAAAAATAGCTAATAAATATATCATAATAAGACTTATCATCCTGTTCGTGATGTCTGCGACCAAAACCTCTTGGAAAATTATATAATTCATGTCGTAAGCCCATCACATAAGCCATAATGTAAAAGAGTATCACCCTACTAAACCACATATATAGCCTGCAAAATTATAAGATGTACAATATAGAAGCACAATATGAATAAAAGTTAGTCTGCAAAATGATAAGATGTACAATATAGACAAACAATATGAATAAAAGTTCAAATTTGAATTTGGAATTCAAATAAAGTTTATATTACAAAAAACATACACATATAAATTTTTCCATTACATATGATATTTTCAATCATAATCTCCCTCATTTACTTCAACTTCTTCTTCAGTATCATAATCAGAATCGTCGTCATCATAATTAGTCTCTTCCTCATAAACATTATCAACTCTACCCGTTGGCAGAGATACTTCATTCTTGTCCTCATCATCATAATAAGCATTGTTTTGAGCTACATCAACATTGTTTTGAAAGTATTGTGACAATTCGATAAAAAGTCTAGCACTGGATGAAGAGTTGTTTTGAACTACGTCAACATTTTCGGCGTCCATATTGTTGACATTTTGGACAGAGTCAATGTAAGCATTTTGGACACGAGCATTGTTGGATGGTAGATCCCAAATAATTTGATGATTAACATGCTCAACGACAGAACAAGGGTTGTTGTTTTTGTTTCTTCGAGAAGGCTCGAGGATGTAGAACACTTGCTTTGTGGCATCCCTGTTTTCACGCCAATTTAAAACTTTTACTTATGCTTATTAAAATTCAGAGTATTCATTAATTTGTTCCCAAAATATAATATTTGAATATTTCCAAAGATACGTTTTTCATTATATATAAAACCATGGGATGTTATCGTCAATACAAATACATAAACATAAACTTGGTTTAACATGCCTTACAACAATTTATTATATTATGGCCTAATAACTCCTCAAATCACTCATCATCCCTATGACTTTGTACCATTACCTGTGATACAAAGAAACTGAGTGGGTCAGGCTTGGGGGCCTGGTGAGCACATAGGGTTTTCAACCCACAATAATTAAGTACTTCAATTAAATAATTCACATCAAATAATTTAGCCTATTACGCATTCCCGTTATTCTCACTTTTTGATCCTAAAATATAGATCTCAAGGTACCTATCCTAAGGATCATCATAAGCAACGAATAGACAATATTGCTTTGGAGATTCCTATAGCAATATGTGTTAATAAGGCAACCATGGTAAGGGGATAGAGTACATCAATGAACAGATAGTTCATTAACACCTATAGGTTGCGAACATGTCAGCGTTTCCACTGGACTGTCTAGAATAGTCTGTGGTCGCCATCTATACTTTGCTAGGTGGCTGGTTCATCAAAGGTCATGGCCTCTCATCATTATCTCATCATTTTCATCACCCATCACTACCCAATATACTTTATATAAATATATGAAAATACATATATGATTAAATCAAGTAGAAATCATATTATCTTATCTAACACATATATTAGTAACACAAATAATTGGGTCAGATGATATTTAATCATTTAGATACTTTATATTTATATGTAAGTTGAAAGAAACTATGAACTCACTTCTTAAAGTGGATAACTTGAAAGTTGGGCAACATTTAGTCTTTCCTTTGATGTGACCTAGGTTTATATCACCAAAATCTTAGTTTATTATTTCTTATGACTAATGATAGTCTAGATTCCTCAACAATCTTAATGTCTACGTTAAGATCTACCAAGGAGCAACCAGTTAAGATGATATTAGAGGTAGGGTCTGTTTCATATACAGAGTATATTATTTGGCAATCCCACTTTAAACACCTCACAAATCTAACCTAGACATCACCCCCATAAGTAGCTCAATCCATATAATGACTTGGAATCACTGATAAATCTTATTTATAGATTCATAACAATGACTATGAATATAAATATAAGTTACACTGAAAGAAATATAAGTGTAGCTTAACTTACAGAGATTTTCCTGACAGAAGTCCGTAATTGTACTGGTAGAACTCCGACTTAATAGCTACTAATGTTGGGCACTCAGGAACTCCAGAGCTTCGCTAGAATCTTAAAAACTAAAGAAAATTTCGGCCAAAATGGAGAAACAATCGAGAAAGAAATATGGGAAGGTGTAGGGAAGTGAATGAGTAGCTTAAACATATTTAGAGGGAGAATTCTTGGGAGGTGTGACGTGCCCAGACTAGGTGCATGTCGCCCCAAGCTCTGTTCGTCCATTATCCTCCTGACACGTGT